TTTTTTTTTTTTTTTTCTGAACTTTGAATCTTTAATTAGAGAAATTGGCCAACTGGTTACTCTCAAACCTACTCCTAACTCATTTATTCCCAAAATATGGCGTCGTTCATATCTGTTTAGTTCAGTCCATTTTTACCTCCGTTTTTTCTGTTTTTTTATAAGCTCAGGAATAATAAAAGTCACATGGTGTGTAGAAAATGTTCTAAACCTTGTGTGATGAAATCGATGAATTTAATCCAGGTTTGACAAAGCTTTAGGGATGTTAGTGCATCCCCTCATACTAGGCGATAATGTTTGAAATATTTATTCTCTATTTTATGAACACTATCCTCATATTTTTCTCTTTACAGGTTCTTCCCAGGTGGCAGGTATCAAAGAAAAATTCCATCAAATTCAAACTAAGGACAATCGAACCGAATGGCATCATATTTTTTTGTGAAAGTGATAGCAATGCCAAAGTCGTAAGTCTTTATTTTCTTTTCTCTCTTAATTTTCTTGTTTTTCTGTAGTATTTGAGTTTTGAGTGATTGAAGAGGTGTTAAAGAGAAACATTAAATTTTATACTTTTAGTACAACTTTTTTTACAACTTGATGCCTTACATTTTTGGTTTTTATGATTCTTTCGGTTTTTGTTTAACTTTTAGTTTTTCAACCTAGCAACACTGTCATACAAATATAAATGAGGAATTACCTACAGTCAAACCTCAGTCATTCAGGAATTCATGACAAAGACCCCTGTCGCATCATTGAAAATCCATGGATGACGTTAGAAATAATCAAATAAACTGTAGAAACTGACCTTTAGATCTAGAAAAATTCCCCAAAAATAACTGAAATGACCTTAGAATGTCCATTTGTGTGATACAACCTCCATTTGATCGGTGTGAAAAATACTTGTTAATATATCATTCAGGAATCAATTTCTGAACTTCCATTTGTCTAAATTGTTTTTTTACCCAAGATTTTGAAGAGAAAACATGCAATGTTTTTTCCTAGTTCAGACCCTTTGTCATTCACCATTTAGATTTTCCCAACATTGAAGATAACACCAACTTTTTTTTATCAATGTTTCAGGAGGGTTTTATAAGCTTGGAACTACTAGAGGGTAAAATTAGGATGTATATCAATTTTGATTCGAAAACCGCCATCACCGAAGCAAAAAGTCCTCGTTTGGATGATGGTGAATGGCATGAAATCAGCGTTCAACAACACGGGAAAAATGGTTCCCTCACCGTAGATACTTTCAACACAGAATTAGTCATACCTGGTAAGTATTCATCCATTTATATTTTTGATAGCCACAAGAAATTTCTTAGGGGGAGATTTAATGGAAAATATAGTGAACAATTTTTGATGGCACCTCTCTTTTTTCGAATTGGAAAAAAGAGGATGTATTTTGGACAAAAAGTGGCATGTCCTAGGACCACGTGAGGGGCTTGGAGGACAAAGCTCATAAGTGCAGTTGTGCTATTTCAATAAGTACAAGTTTGCAGTTTCAAAATTGCATGGCTCTTAATGGCGGAAAGAAAGTTCAAATTGACTTTTTGATGCTTAAAAATTGGAATATA